AAAATGTATGTACATAATAAATTCAAATACAACAGTTTTTATCTAAATTTTAGTAGTAAGCCGGCCACTCATTTGAAAAAAATAACAAGATGAGAATGTGAGGCCAATTATGAATAACAAAACTCATCATCTTCTAACTTTTACTCATCATTACATGAGGATGGCAGTTCAAATAACCAAAGAATGCATAAGGAAAGAAAAAGATACATGACAACAATTAAGCATTTGTCAATCCCTAATCCAAAGCCCAAAATAATGAATATTTACGCAATGCAAGAAGATAAACGTGTGAAGTAAATCTGAGTCAGACATTGACACACAAAATAAAATTATTCATCTTAGAATATTCAATCTCATCTAACATATGGTAAATATCTCTTCTAAAATAAAATGATCAAATTGCAAATGAGGAACTGCTCAGTAAGATATAGGGAATTTGATACAAAAAATATGTTTCAAACAAATGACCCAGTGCCATATGAAGAGCAAAAAGTCTGAATTGTTCACACTTGATTAAGTAAAGATGCTCTCCTCGCTGTTCTCAATAATCAGTAGTTCCTGAAAAATAACCAGCTCAATCATGGCTGACCACAAAAAGCAGAACACCGAAAGATAAAAATCAAGTGACCCTAGAAGAAGCGAACGAGTAAGGCGACTATTCCTCAACCTCACCTGATCACTGTCCTCCTCTGTTAGAGAGAGAGAGAGCGAGAGAGAGAGAGAGAGAGAGAGAGAGAGAGAGAGAGCGAGCGAGCGAGAGAGAGCGAGTGAGCGAGCAACACAGACAAAGATCAGAGGGGATGAAGGAAGTATACCGTTACTGTTGCCGGAGCCGACTAGAGATCGGCAGGGTCACTAGAGAAATGGGAAAAATGAAGGTTCGGTGGCTGCAAAGAATCAAATGGCCCGGCTCATCGAATTGGGAAAGCAGAAGCCATGGGACTTCGCGAGAGAGAAAGCTCAGGCAGAAGAATTTCGTGGGGCAAAAGGTAAAAGTAGCAGGGCGAACACGGGGCCACAAAGTTGATCCCGCGGCCCGCTTTCCACCAGCTTCTGCAATGCGCAACCGTGAAGTTAGCATCAAAACAATTTTTTTTTCCTAACCAAACGAACCCTTAATTAAATGGCTCGGAAAGATCCCCTTGATTAGACGACATCTGATTGACATTTGAGTGCCTTAATAATGTCGAAATTGAGCGATCTTGGGCTTGTTGGATTTGTCTTGCGAAGACACTTAATTTGACTATAAGCATGTAATATTTGAAATCTGTTTGGCCTTCCAATTATGCCTAAAAAAACTCCTAAAAGTGGTTTAATGGTTTGATCTGACTTGGATTAGACCAATTTCTGTATCATTGAGTTTGTCTTGTCGAGCAGGTCAGTTTAAATAAAATTTACTAAAATCGAAGTAATGGATGACTTCTAATTAAAGTTTGAATGTTTATTACCCAAAATTTTCCCCAAGATCCGTGTCATGCATCAAGATTCATGTCAAATAAAGGAAATTTGTTGGTCGCATATCAGAACAATTCTTTTTCAGCAACAAGAAGTTATTCTTTATGTTTTCCAACTAAACAAACATCTCCTTCAGAATTTCGAAGTGATTATCAATTATTCAATCTTATAACAAATATATGAATACTGGAAATGAGATCAATCCTGGGTCATCAAAGATAGTCTTGTTAAGATGGCAACAGTAGAAACTAGTAGAAATCATAAAAATGGATTTCCAGTAAAATGAAAAATGCTGCCTTCCCTAGCCAAACTATTTTTTCAGAATAATATCCATGGAGTTTGCTAATATACCATTACAAAAGTTTTAAAAAGTAGAAAACGGAAACTAGTCAAAAAATTATGATGGATTATTATCATTCATTAAAATTCTTTCTTAACCAGGACTAAAATTCAGAGAAAGCAATTATGAGTGAGCATTACCCATTCAGAGCTGGTATGGTAATCTGCATGTCTTTTAGGAAACTGGTCAGATCAATGATCTCACATTGTTGAGAAGCAGCCAGATCAGCGATGGAAGCCAAATTAGTATTGCGTTGCAACAGTTCTACACTTTGATCCATGGATGAGGGCATAGCTCCATGTATGGTATTGACAACAGCATTACATGGAAATATGGAAGAAAATAGCTTTTGAACTGATACAAATTCAGACATTGATAAGGTCTGATTTGTTTGCAAAATCAACTGCAACAGCAAAAAAATAGTGAGTCCAAAGCAGAAAATTGTTGTTTTGTAAAAGAATGCGTGAGCAATATAACCTGTGGAGGATCAGCTTCAAGGTTTACAAAATGTAGTCGTTGTTGTAAGGAGAGATTTGACAACTCGGCCATTCCTTCAACATGTACCATGTAAATCATATCTTCTATTATCATTATATTCAATGGAAGTAGCAATGTGCACTCCTGTAACAAAAAGTATGATGGATTTGGAACCTTCCAAGATTTGCTGTGAAAACAATCTTTCATTTTACATGGTGTATCTTGTAGAATCAAATTGGTCATTAAAAGAAATATTTGCAAGGTGCAGATGAACCCTACTTATCTTAGCAAAAAATTTAGTTACATAATTTTCTCATACCAAAGCTAATATAGAATCTTAATTATGAAATGAATTATGCGAAGAATAGTTAATTCAAGTAGTGCTATGGTGAATTTTAAACTTCTTGAGAATGAAGAATTTAGTATTTCTAGTTATAAAAAAATAGAAGAAAATGTCGTGTTGCAATGTAGAGTTGGAAATTGTACCAATGCTGTGAAGAAGCCTATTATAATGAAAATATAAGAAAGCAAAAAAAAAAAAAGAAAAAACCTACAAGTTCCATGATAAGAATTGAGAGATATGATTGAGCATTTCGTTCTAACATTTGTGATCCTAATAGAGCTTCTAATAAGAAACATATAAAATATATGAATAATAATTACAATATTAATTAAATTGATGAGTGGGAAAAAATAATCACTAAATAAATACAATAACACATGAATGAATGAATAGGCAGTATGGATCCTTTATATCAATAAGGTGGTAAGGGAAGAGCAAGAAACAGGGTGAAAGTGTTAGTGTGTATCAACAAGAGGAAATTATGCAGGCATAGCACAGCATTAACAAATGTGAGGCAACTGTATCAACAAGAGGAAATTATGCAGGCATAGCACAACATTAACAAATGTTAGGCAACAGTAATTAAAAAAAATGGATTGAGATTAATATTCAATTTAATATCTAACAACAAGGAAGGCAAATCTGATTTCTTTTACGCTGGCTGTCGACTACCTAACGCAACCCTCCACTTTTCTCATCCGGGCTTGGGACCGGCAACGGCAGTGTTAAATGTGAGGCAACAGTAATTAAATAAAAATGGATTGAGATTAATATTCAATTTAATATCTAACAACAAGGAAGGCAAATCTGATTTCAAAAAATATAGTGAAGGTAATGTTGACTGTGTGCAAGTAAGGTAAGTGCAAGTATCCCTAAAAATAATAAATTTGCTTTTAAATATCACGGTATACATTATACACTATACACGTTAATACAAAATGAATAATAAATTCATTGGTTAAACCAGATCTAAATTAACTAAAAAAATTTAAACAGTACTAATAACTGATTTATAACATAGCTGATCAAACTTCAACTCTCAAGCATGAATTTAGTGAGATCATTTCAAAGTGGACCTCATTCCTTTATTTATTTATTTTTTTGTAGCTTGAGATTATTGCGTTGGGTATCAAATTATGTTTACATAAAATGTTGAATCTTAAAGTATTTGGGGATTCACACCTAAGGAATAAAGCGTCCAACGAGAAGGGAGTGAGAGAGGAAGAAGAGCTGAAGAGTAAAAGTGAGAAAATCTAGAGCCTTTCTTCATAAAATGAACTCCTAATTATAAGTATAGAAGATATCTAGAATGTATAATTACATTTAGGACTCTCATTTACAAAAAGATGTTGATACAATATACTTAATTATATTAATAATGAATTTGACGGTGGGCCATATAACTTTTGGTCGTCGACATGTGCTCGCTCGTTCGGTGATGACAGACTGAACCACATGAGGATGATGTAAATTCTTCTCAATCAATTCTATTTATGACTTTAACTAAATTCTTTGGCTCTTCTGTCTTGTTCGCTCAGCGATGAGTTGTCTTTTGTTCGGCCTCATTCAAAGATATTCCTCGTTCGGCTCAGTGTACAAATATCCTTCGATCCGCTTAATTTATGATTGTCCTTCGTTCGGCCTGCTACATAGATTCGTTCGCCTACCAAAATGAGTGACTTATCAGAACTTTGAGATGCTCCTATCTTGACTTAACATTGACTTTTCTGTCCATAAAGTAAATCAATTTTTGATTGAGTCTGCGTATACTTTGACTACGGGTCCGCCTGCTTGTCTTGTACCTACATTTTTCTCCAAGATTGGTGTTGTCTACGTATAAGGTCCGCCTGCTTGTCTTGTACCTACATTTTTCTCCAAGATTGGTGTTGTTGCGATCCTATCATACAATAAGGATTATTATGATCCAAGCAAACATATTGTTTGGGGAAACTTCTGGTTTAAAAAAAATCTCCTTGCAAAGTCGACAATGTAATTTTATGCCATCCAAAGTTATTGACATTCTCGAAATAAAACAAACTGGCAAAGTGACTTGAAAGAAAGAGCAATTAACGTTGTAATCGAGTCAAGTCGAGCCAAGTATATCATTATTCGAACTGGGCTTTGTATAATTATAAGTTGTTGGTGATTGGTTTGCGCTTATGCTGAGCTTTCATATATTGTTCAAGTTTGACTGGTTTAAATTTTTCAATATTTAAACTTGATTCGTATATGACAAGTGAACGAGTATTTAAACGAGCAAATAAACGAGTTGAAAATTCAAATGAGTATCTAGATTTTTAAATAAAATATTTAATAAATAATTTTACAAATCTGATTGCACCTACTAATTTATCGATTATAAACTTTATAAAAATATAAGATAACTCATGAATCATGTTCAAACTTCAATGATTGCACCCAACTCCCGCATTCAGATGTAAGTGTTGATTTTCCCATAGTTATATGCACTGGTCATTTTCCAAGCTTTTTTGGAAAGCTTTATAGATGTCTTTTATATTGCATTATTACAACATCTTTATTTGTAATCGTATATGACTTATAATGATTGCACTGCACTTTCTCAACATCACTTTTTAATCAAGTAAGATTTAAAAGAAAACTGAATAAAGGAGATTTACGAGAGACTAGAGTTTCAGAGATCCTTGCACACCACAATCTTGTTGTTGCCTTCGATACTTGCACGCCTTAAGAATTCAGTATTTCGTATGTTTCGGGCGAAATAGGGAGAGGTGAAACAGTGAGAAGCCGGAGAGAAAGTAAGATTTTCGGGGGTTTATAGTTAATTTTAAGGGGCATTTCATACCTACCACGTAAGACATATGTATTTTGACATCCAACACCAAAACTTTAATAAAATAATTATATAATTAACAATTAATCAAAAAATATTATTAATATGATAATATATTGCTATTACATCTATCATTAAATAAAGTCTAGTTAATTAAATTTTATGTAAATAATATATTAAATATGATAAGAGTTCTCATCAAGTTTAATATCGAGTATTTAATGAGTTATTTGTTAAACAACAAACGAGTTTGTTTGTGAACATAAACGAACAAATTCGACTATGTTCATGTTTAGTTCGTTTAATCCCCGAGCTTTTAAAAAATGTTCAAGCTTGTTTATTTACTAATTTGAACGAACATGATCGAGTCTTAATCAAGCTGAGTTTGAGTTGTTCATCGAGTAAATTGGTTCAATTACAGCCCTGAAAGCAATACACAAATATTATTCAAACAAGCAATGATAAAAATAACATCAGTGTCCAAACAAACACAATTAAAAAGGATAAAATTTTCTCAAGAAAGCAAGAGTTTGCGGGCTCAAAAGAGTATACCTTGCGCATAGAACTCAATAAATCACGGAGATGATCTTGTAGCTCTGGCATCTTTCCGCCATAGTCAACCATCACCACGGCCCTTAGTCGAGTACATAGAGCAAGGACATCTGACAACCCGACATAAAAGTAAACAATCTAATTACACTATTCTCTTCAAATAAAACTCGGTCATCGACAGCAGGCTTGAAAGGGGGAAGAGAAGAAAACTTTATATGCATTTTTTTGGAAGAACGAAAACCCGGCAAAATAAAATGGACTTTATTCTCATTTTAATTGTTTCTCCCAAACAAATAAATAAATAAATAAATAAAGCTGGAACTTAAATTCATATCTTAAAGGCTTCAATCTCAACGTGGAAAGGGCTTTCTGCAATCTCCATAAAATTAAATCCAAATAGAAGATTGGAGTACTTAAGAAGAAGGAACATGATAAGGAAAAAGAGTGAGGAAGAGAACCAGTTTCTAGGCGGCGCTTTGCCGAAGGCCTCAGCCGCCATTTGATGGCCGAAATGCACGAATCGAGCAGACACAGGATTTCTTCAGCGTCACGTATGTCCATTTGGGGAAGCAAAAATGATGCAAACGGTGCGTCGCAACAAGTTTTTAGGAGCCGATCCTGCCGGAACATCCGAACTAAGTGGGAATAAATGAAAATTAAAAAATTTGAATATTTTCTTAAGCTTAAAATTAAGAACTACCTTAAAAAAATATATTATAAATTGTCACTTTCTGAGCACTGGCAAAATAGTCTTCCCATGTTCTTTTTTTTGTTTTTTTTTTTTTTTTTTTTTTTTTGATAACTGTTTGGGACAATTGATGATTTATTCGCATCGCCAAAGCTATGCGAATGGTATCGATTCTCGCTCTAATAAATCATCTCTGGCTCACTCAAATTCTTCCATTAACAAACTTGTAAATTTATTTAAATAATTTTGTCAAAATTTTAAGTCATTTTTTATCTTCTTGTTTTAATTAGGGTATGTTGTGTGAACAAACCCTTGTATCAATTTTATTTGAGAGGTTCTTGATTTTTTTTATTATAATCTTTCAATATTTGTCACACTCTTGATCCAGAAGACACCACCCCAATAATGTGGGACATATTGAAGGAATATATAAACTTATTTTGTACCCTAAAATGGAGAGAGTATATACAAATAATAGCAAATGTTAGCATAAAAATACTATTGAATCCAAGATTGTCCTATAAGTCACACCCAAAGAATAGAGCATACGTACACGAGAGAGAAGGGGAGAGAAAGAGAGAACAATGGAGTAGAAATAAGACTAGATTAAGCTGAACGATTTATTAACCCTTTAATGTAGAAATAAGTCTCTATTTATAGGCAAAAGAACGTATAAAGCATGCAATTACCTGTTTGTCCCTGCTTGAATAAGTACACAAAAAGATTTTTTGGTTATAAATAAATATGTGAATAAATAAATAAATAGAATTTGGCTTGGTTGCCTAAGATTGTTGGCCCTTGGGTTGATCAAGTTGGCTTGGCCGATTTAGCTAAGTCAGGGCAAACAATCGGCTTTCATATGTTGGTCAGTTGGTCAGTTGGTCAACCCCACTTAGGACAACCGAACAGCTTGGCTAGGAGCAGTCGATCGACTTTTGAGGATCCTTGGGTCGCCAGACTTCATTTAGTTAGCTGTTTTTGTCCGACTATTAGTTGTTGACCACTTAAATGGGCTTCACATTGCCAAGATGAGAATATGATATCGGGCAGAGGACACATTTCCATAGTGGCAGGTAGCCCACCCATTTAACAAGAGAGCCATTGGGGGATTTATGGTGGTGTCGTGATGACCACCTAAATAATCCTAGTGAGTCTTGAGGATCTTCTCTAAAGTGACTCATGGTATATTTTGACAAGTATGGTAGATCCCTTTCTCTTGTTGGTCTGGTCTTGATCTTTGAGTTGAAAAGCTTTAGTTCTGCATGCTTTAAACACGACTTCATGGGGGTTGTGGATAGACATTGAATCTCGTGAGTTCGCGTTAATGTGACCATTGATCCCTCATAGACCATCTTTAATCATGCTTGACTTTCAATCCATATGAGCTCCTCAAGATTCTTGCTGGCATATTTTTGGTAGACATATTTGATTTCTCAATTCTCTTACTTCTTAAAAGCCATTCCACAATAAGAATAAGAGAATTTAGTAGGGCACTTATGGTGCCTTAGTCACCCACATTTCTCAAGAGTGCATCAGTTTGATCGACCAATTTTGAATGAGTTTCAATGGCGAGCGAAAAGAAATCATCGTTGGACAATCTTACTAAAGTTGTTTTAAAGAAGCCTTTTAGGACTTCTGCATCGTAGTTCCTTATAGAAAGGTAACCAACCAAGAAGTGACCAGAGGGCGCCCTCTGCCTAAGAGGAGGTGTCTGCCCGTAAAGAGAAAAATATATCATGCATAAGGAAGGTGAAGAGAGTCATCACGAGGCTGTGAAGAAGCCCGTGGTGGCAAAGAGGCTAGAGGAAACGACCCAACCTGAAGGGGTAAGACAGAAGAAGTAGTTCGCATTGAAGAAGAGACAGATGTTGGACATTTATAAGGTCAGGTTGTTGATGAGCTAAAACTTATTGGGACATAAGTCATTGTTGTACAACGCAAGTGTATGTGTCAAGTTAGTAATGTGCTTCAAGAGTACTGGTGCGGAAGGCCAGAGGTGCGATCCTAGTGCTACACAAAAACTTAATACAATGTTTAATACGTGGAAAATTAATCTAGAGAATATGCAAGGCAACACAACAATAATTTTTAATTTTAATTAATCACTGGGATGCAAAATCAAGTATATGTATTGCATAAGTAATATAGGGCTCTAATGGAGTCCTAAGTATCGATCCCATAGGGAGGTGGAAATTCTTATAATAAAAACTCAAAGACACAATATCTAAACTATAAAAAAATTACATAAGAAAGCAGTCAAATTTGTTTTATACAACTAAATACACTATGTTTACTACACTTATATCTAAATTTCAAGGTTAAATCTAAATGCATCTAAACTAAGTTTAATAGCAAAGAGTTCAAATTTAAGTAAGTATCCTTCCCTTTACAATGAGGTTATATTCAGTGAATAATTCAAATCTTTGTAAATTATATTATACTAAATAGGAGCAATTTTATTCTTTATTCTTTTTATGAGCGACAAAGAACATTGGCTAATCCAGAGTTTGGTCTCTAAATATGTGGTTAGGCTAGGAAGATACTGACTCTAACTTTAGAGTTCCCACGTTCCCCTCACATAAGGGGTAACATCTCGCTTTAGTTTCCAAACCTCTAAACCAAATTGAGGATTTTAGTTTGTCACCCTAAAATCTACAATTATGCACCCAACAAAATATATTTCCCTATCTATTTGCACTTAAGCCCATGAACAACATTCTCATTCATGAGATCAAATGTGATTCTTACTTGGTTGAAGAAAGCATAGCCCTCTCGGATCATATGTTTCACAACAAATTTTAACAAATCAATTAGCCAGATTGATAAGTTAATGAAGATCAAAGTTTGAATCATCAAAATTATGAAATTAAAATGCTTTTAAATAATTTTGATTCTTCGCATGACTATATCTCATTGTAGGGAGAATGACCAAGCAAGCTACTCATAATTCATGAGGAAGATATAGAAAAACATGGATTTATATATAAAAACAAGTTTACACAATAAGAAAAGTAAAATACAAACAATCTATCTCAATCCCCCTCCCATGCAAATCCATTGAAGTTCATTCGAATCACTTTTTCTCCTTACAATATTACTCAAATCTCTCTTATAAATGTAATGAATAAGAAATCTGTCATAATCTATCATTTTCTCGCTCCTCTTACAACTCTTAGAGAAAATCCTCTCTAATTCTCTCTCATGCCACTACACACTAATGCACACTAAACTCCACTTTCAAACCCCTTTTTCTGTTGAAAAGCCCAACATTAAATAATGTAGGAGTAAATATAATGTAGGAGTGAATTCCCAAGATTCTCCTTTGGTACCCCTTCAAAATTCGTCCAAGTTCAATGTATTTGGAAAAATAACCGTCTCTGATACATAGGAGCCAAAATCTGGAGCCTTGGCACCTCCTTCTCTATATTCTGACACTTAGGCGCTAAATTCTAGTGCCTAGGCACCAGTTCAAAGTTTTCAAAAAGCGGTCTTTTGACTCCAAATTTTGTCATTTTTTGCTTCCTTTCAACTCTAAATGTCTAACTTAGTGTACCTGCAATAAAAACATGAAAATAACTTTCTTTAAAGTGCAATATCACTAAAAGTAAGCATTAAAAGTATGTATAAAAGTTGAAAATATTTAGACATGTCAAAATCCCCCAAACTTAACTATTATTTGTCCTCAAGTAACTCTTTTACTATGTAAAAATTATGACTTATGGTAGTGAGCTTTACTTAAAGACTTCTATAGTTTTTGTTTTATAAATACAATAGTAAAACTTTAGAAAAATTTTCAATAACTCAAGTTAAAACTAAAAATGTAAGAATATCTAGTAATCAAGTCTAAGAGTTCTAATTTTCTATTAATTTCAAGAATAATTGTAATTTGTCATGCTAAGGAGACTTAGAAGAATTATATGAAAACAAATTTCATGAGAACTCTATTATTTAGGATGTTAATTTTTTAAATATAAGTTCAGAAATGTAATTAAATCCATTTCCTTAAGATGATTCAAGTGAAGCCAATTTTTTATTAGGTATTTCTTCAAGCTTCTCCTCACACATATTTTTCCTTTTTTGTTTTTCTATTTCTTCTTTTGATTTTGCTTTTTTATTTCTTTTAGGATTGTTTTCAATCTTTTTTTTTCTTTTTCATGTGAGGATTACAATATTCGGATAGCCTTTAATAATTTTGAACTTCATTATCTTCTTCTTAAAGTTAAAAAGTTCCCACATTTCTTCACTCTATAAATGCATATTAGCATTGAAAAAAAAAATTCCATTGAGTCTCAATTCTTTCTTCTTATATGTAACTCTAAGACTCTAAATATTTTAAAAATACAATTTTCTTTACATTAAATAGCAAAAACAGAGTCTTATTCTCTTATACTAAATATCTTCACTCCAAAACTAACCCTTATTATTAAAATTTGTTACCTAAGTCTAGTATGATATTTATAAAATAAAAAAAATAGTTATTTAAAGTTAACATGGAATGCCAAAAGGTCATGTTAAAATAATTTTAAAAATATAGTTTATTGAGGACAAATAAAGTTTAGTCTCATTTTAAAAAAATTTTCCTTCCCCCAAACTTAATTTTCTTAACAAATAAAACATATAGTGCAGAAATGTAGGTAGGAAGAAAATAATAAATGCAATTATTAAGACTGACTTGTACAGGGCTTTGAACATGAAACTTTGCAGGTACTAATTAAAAAAATCAGGTGTATAGCATTACATAAAGCTTCATTAAATATGGTATATCAAAAAGATTTGTTAAGTAAAGGATAGTATTAAACATAAGCAATAAATTTAAAAACAGGCAGTAGTACAAAAAAAAACAAATAAACAATGTAGTTCCACAAATAACAAATTTAGTATGATAGTTTACCATAACACATAATCTAAAGACTACATCTATCTAAGATAAACATAAAAGCAA